GACAGACATAATCATTATACACATTAAATTCACCTATTGTTTGGTTCGCAATCCTCCCCCTGTTTTATTTATTTCTTATCATTAGTGGGGAGTTCTTTTCCATTAATTTTAGTTAAAAGACTTTTTATCCTAGCCTCTTTAAAATGCCATAAAGCTTCAAATAATGGCTTAAGTGTTTTGAAACTTTGAACGATTATTCTTTTACCAGCTAGATTTTGTTTAGAATTTTCATTGTTTAGAACTATTGACGTCATTAAATGCGAAAGTTTGAAAAGTAAATAAACTAAATGCTTCAATGCAATAATTTTGTTTACAAAGATTTCTTGCTGAATGCACTTTGAAATATTTGTGTACTAAAATCATAATGTACTAAAATCATAACGTACTAAGATCATAAAATCGTAACGTACTTAAATCATAATGTACTAAATTTATTAAATCATAATGTATTAAAATCATGATTTACTAAATTCATTGAATCATAATGTACTAGAATTCTAATGTAATAAAATCATAAAATAGTAATGTACTAAAATCATAATGTACTAAATTTATTACATCATAATGTACTAAATTTATTACATCATAATGTACTAAAATCATAATGTACTAAAATCATGATGTACTAAATTTATTACATCATAATGTACTAAAATCATAATGTACTAAATTTATTACATCATAATGTACTAAAATCATAATGTACTAAAATCATAATGTACTAAATTTATTACATCATAATGTACTAAAATCATAATGTACTAAAATCATAATGTACTAAATTTATTATATCATAATGTACTAAAATCATAATGTACTAAATTTATTACATCATAATGTACTAAAATCATAATGTTCTAAATTCATAAAATCATAATGTACTAAAGTCATAATGCCCCTCTATGTGAAGGATCAAGTAAGACTATGTAATTTATTAATATGCCTATTTATTTTCGGTTCACACTATTCTCCGGTCTTTTGAACAGGTGTAGAGGTTTATCCCATCTTTCCTGTTTAGGACAGGGTTTCCAATTACTTCTAAAAGTTGTCACCTCTCGTTCACTCCCAACAGCCACTTGCATCTTAGTGGCATTATTGCATTGCTTGAGGTGAACAGATTAAAAAAAATATGCATGCAAATTCTCACGTAGACAGTGTGCGACGGACATAGAATCTTTTCCTGTTTTATAATAGAGATTTTGGGTGTCATTTTGTCAGGCTCGTCAGCGGAACCCGGTCATCATTAGAAAACACACGAAATCAAGTGGGTCCTAAATTATTTTATCTGCGCCTGGTTTTACAAGCAGTGAAATCTACGAAATAAGAGCTTCAAAGCGGTCACTCAGTGACCAAAAGGAAATAAAATAAATAGATAAATAAATTAAAACTTTCGGGATCAAGTTCTACTTTACCGGAAGTTAAAAAGTTCCGGTCGCAGGTTTATATATACAGTCACAGAATTGAATGTAGTTTGATGTCGTTCATTAGAGAGCACTTTCAAGCCACCCATAGGCAGAGTTGCGAGAGGTAAGAAGTGGGGTTGCAGGACAGGGCGTCCTCTCTAGCCGAAGGGAAGAACTTAGCTGACAGTCTATCGTGAAAGACGTCGCAGAAGTTGTCCAAAGTGCCGCCTATCCAAACACCACCAGACTGTGCAAGTGAATCCTTGAAATAAACACATAAATATAAGGGCAACTGGATCCTTGTTTTTAGTTTTCGTCGTAGCGTTATTTCCCTTTTCGTTCATTCGTGAGCGTGCAACAGGACTTTCCCAGTTTTCTTTTCTTTCTTTACACACCGAAGCTAATCGAATTGAAACGACGTTGGGTGGTTTGTCTGCTCGGTGTAAAGCTAAGTGGCCTGACGTATGTTTATAAGTCAAAAAAAGGCAGTCAGAGTTAAAATTAGATGAAGTTAGAGACTACTTTCAAGTAACCCATGGGCGAACCGAGAGAGAAACAGAGACTTCTCGCTTGCGCAGAGGACACTTAAAGAGAGAAACAGTATCTACCATCATGGCAGAAACTCAGAACAAGTACATCGGGACATAGATCAAAATGAAAATTGGCGATCCCCAGAAAATCAGTAGAATTTAAAATAGGCGAAAATAAAATGAGATAATAGCCAGTCCGCCCGAGTGATCCTACATTTTACGCATGCGCAATAAGGTGTGTGCTGGTTAGTCGCCCAGAATGCCGATTAATTGGTTATCGAGATATTCATAATGATTGAATAATTTCTGAACACACCTCCTCTGTGCGTGTGTGCGCAGGCGCAGCGCATTTTTAAGGAGTGTCTGAAATAGAATGTGGCGCTTCGTATTGTCCACTTTATATATTTAATAAGGAATTAATCACATTCTGAGAAACTACATTACGCTTGACAGTAATTGGTTCAGTATTAAAGCCTCGAAAAGAATCCCCATCACCACTATAAAAAAAAACAGGCTCTTCTTCCTCCGCAGAATCGCCAGTCTTTTCCCGCCTTCAGATAAAAATGCGAAAATTTTAAACGTAATCGAATCTGGAAGTTGCAATATGTAATCTCCCAACGGCAAAAAAAAAACCCCAAAAAAACCGCCTTTATTGAATGCTAAGAAGAACAGTGGAGTAATGGATAGCGACTTGGATTGAGGAATCGGAGAGCCGAGTTCGAATTCCAGTCGAATCCATTACATTCACTTACGTGCTAATATTCTTGGGAAAGGCATGAATCCGCTTCATCTCTCCCCAGTTATTACAACTATGGGTAAATAGCACGACAGACGGGGTTCTATAGCCTTGGATGGCAACTGGTCTACGCGCACTACACTACTGCGCGCACACACACAAACACACACACACACTACCGCAGAAAGAAATGGCAAACTACATTGGAAAAAAAAACTGCCTCGTCAGTCATGTATCGAAAGACACATGATCGCCTAAGCGTGTTTCACGCGTGGCACATAGCTGACTGACTGAAGAAGAGCGAATGTGCAAAGAAAGATAAATTAGCAGCCAGCGTAAGGTTGGACAGAAGAAAGATACGCGCCAGGTATTTGAGAACGCGCTTTAGAAAGACCCTAAGTGACTAAGTTTAATAACGAAAAATACTGTTTTTTTTTTGTTTGCTTTTTTTTTGTTTGCTTTTTTTTTGTTTTTTTTTGGGGGGGTTGTTTTTTTTTTTGGGGGTTGTTTTTTTTGTTTTGTTTTTCAGCCCCGGGGTATGAGAGCTTCAACGGTGAAGCAGGCGATGAAAAGGCGTTGCTTTAGCCGCCAACCGCAGAGATGCGGAGATTTCAACTTACTTAAATGTCACCAGGTCCTTCGTGTTTAAGATAAGAAAAACAACCCTTCCAGGCCTCTGGTAAGGATATATCTTAAGTGGTCAAAAGAAAAGAAAATACTTGACGGCCAGACATTGTCAGGAATGTCTAGTTTGTCAGCCTCCCCGACAAGAAAGCCAGAAAATCAATGAGAGCCAATACAAATCAACGCCATGCATCGGCGTCAACAATCCGATGTGTTCCCCAAACAAACAAGGATTCGCTGATGGCTGCTATCGGCATTGCCGGGGCCAATATCAATAAAGAACTCGTGATCAACGCCAACGAGGTGTGATCAAAAAGTATCGGGATTGGTGCAATAAAAAGAAAACTACAGCACACATTAATTCTGCAATTAATCTACTTCGAAATAGTCTCATTCTGAAGTCACACACTTTATCCAGCATCGTTTCCATTGATGGAAGCATTCCTGGAACTCTTTTTTTTTAGCATAGCGAGCAGCTGATTCGCCGAATTCTCTTGGATTTCCTCGACGTCTTGAAATTGTGCTCCTTTCAAGTGAGATTCGATTTTCAAAGCGGATAAAATGTTGCAAGAGGCAAGATCTGGGAAATATGATTGTTGTTGAACCTGGGGAATGTTTCCCTAAGCCCAAAACTGCTGCACTAGCTATAGTCACTGATAGAACCTTTGTGGTGTAATGAGACGGCCACATTCTACACACTTTCCTTCCAGGCAGTGCTATAAACAACGGAAGCGAGCAAGAATGTTATAACTTATTGTGCATGCGCAACAAAGATCAAGGTCTATTTGTGCCAAGCGGCTTCACTCTGCATACTTTAGCTTCGTTGCCATAGCAACAGCACCAATACTTTTTGATCATACCACGTATAATCTTTCTCGAAGATACATCGAGTCAGGTAGCGGTTTTATTAAATAGACTTATGTTTGGAGTATTTTACCATGTTCTTCGTGTTTAAGATAAAAAAGACGACCTCTAGGTCTCGGACAAGAATATTTTCAATGCCCCCCCACCAAAAAAAAAACATTCTCGACGGTCAGACACCGTCAGGAATTTCGGGGATTTCTCCAGACGTTTGGTGCGCTAAAATATCAGATACAAATCCTACGTGATGGGGGGGGGAGGGAAGTTTATACTCAATATTACCCGGAAGAAGAGTGTGACAGCGATCGAAACGTTTTCTGGAAAAAAAAAAGTCAACCACTTCATGTTACCCCTAACATTTGAACTGCTGACTATCCAGATAGACTATTACACTTGGGGTGTCGTCGAGAGAGGGGACCAACAAGCCTTCCTCAAGGATTCACTATAGTCTGCTATCGTGGCTAACACCTGATCGACGCATATAATCGCTTTAGAGGCCCCATCGATTCTGATGGCGGTAATTTTGAATAGACATGTTTTGCGTCTGTATGTAGGAACATAGGTACATCCAAGCGCCACCTCCCTGTAGGATATTGGTTATCATGGCTCTTCACAGCTTCCTATCTTAGCATTTCTTCTGACTTCCGCTTTCAATTCACATAAACTCATCAGTTAAGTGGCTCATTAGTGCCCCTTTATCTCTATTGCTTTCATTATGACCCCTGACTGTTAAGTTTATCAATACCCTCCCTTTCTCATTATGCGTCCAAGGAATTTAATCTGTTGTTTCCTGATTCTGAGCAGAAGTTCTTCTGTTACCCTTTTCTTTAATAGGAGCTCAGTCTCTTAAATAAATATTAGATAGATAGATAGATAGATAGATAGATAGATAGATAGATACGAACAGAGGGGATAGATAGATAGATAGATAGATAGATAGATAGATAGATAGATAGATAGATAGTGACGAAACTGAGATAGATAGATAGATAGATAGATAGATAGATAGATAGATAGATAGATAGATAGATAGTGACAAACTGAGATAGCTAAAGAGAGAGAGACAGATAAAGAGAGAGAGATAGTGACCAAATAGATAGATAGATAGATAGATAGATAGATAGATAGATAGTGATCAAACTGAGATGGATAGATAGACAGACAGACATATAGTGAGCAACTTGAGATAGATAGATAGATAGATAGATAGATAGATAGATAGATAGATAGATAGATAGATAGCTAAAGAGAGAGAGATAGAGAGGGGGGAGATATTGACCAAACTAAACAGATAGATAGATAGATAGATAGATAGATAGATAGATAGATAGTGACAAACTGAGATAGCTAAAGAGAGAGAGAGAGAGAGACAGATAAAGAGAGAGAGAGATAAATAAGATAGATAGATAGATAGATAGATAGATAGATAGATAGATAATGTTGAACACTACATGACACCAAACAGAAGTATATCTGTATAGGAAATGAAAGTCAATGCCGAAACCATTGTTGATTGTCGTAAATCTGTTTGTTTATTTCCTACTTGGATTTTTGGTCAGCCTTCTCAGGTGCTCAATTCCCTGCCAACTGCTAAAGCATTAATTATTTCTTCATCCTCATAACCAGACGACGTGCTGGACTGTTATCACCGTTGGTGAGGCTTTTATGTCAATAACACTCCCACTTTCAACGAAGCAATGTTTCGCTTTTATAGAATTACAAATGAAAGCAATCCAAAGCCGATGTCTCCTATAATAACGTCGCTACTGCACGAGAAATATGGCTCTTCCAAGCGATCTGTCCATTCTGTAAATTAATATTTACTGGGCTCACTTCTGGTATAAGAACACATATATGGGACACCCAGTGAGGATCGAACACACTACTCAGTAATGCCTAAGAACATTCCCCTTTATATATACTATACGATTTAATATATATATATATATAGTGAACATTGAATTCAACATTAAGAGGCGTCAGTCTGTTTCATGATAGACGCAATCGTCAGGCCACGAGTGTTTTTTTTTTTTACACACACACATTCAAACATGTTTCATTCTTGATGATGATCTTGGAGGGTATCGAAAGTACTTGGGTAGGGAAAAACTACGGCACCTTCCTTAGTGAATTTCATCTGAACATCAATAAACTGATTGGAAAACTGGAAAGGATTATTATAAAAATAAATAGACATAATATATCTATATTTTTCAATGAATCATTTTTTAATCAATTAATAAATTTAATAATGCTCTATATATATATATATATATATATATATATATATATATATATATATATATATATATATATATATATATAGGAAGTTAGGTGATGAAATGTTTGGTAATCCGTATGGATAATCTCAAGGAGGATGTAATCCAGAGTGCTCAATGTAAAAACAGAGCGAATATTAGTTAAATTAAAAAACAGACAACTTTAAGGGTTCGTAGATTATATTTTATTTCCCCAGGAATGGGATTTTTTTCCCTTGGTTCCTCAGATCTATTTCCAAGCAAAAAGAAAATGGTTTAAAAATGTACATTTTCTATACAAGTTTTTGAGGGATAGTTTCTAGTTGATGTAAGTTGATAGAGAGACGGGGAGGACGACGACGACTGGTATGATCGAAATTAGAGACGGAAGGGAGAGATAGAAATATGTTTAAATTTATCGTTATTAAGTTATTAAGATATTAAGTGTAAGAGTGGTAGGGTAAGGTGCCAAATTTGGAAAAAACAAACAAAAATCCTTAAATGCAATTATGTTGTTTAAAATGAATGAAATGTCGACGTCTGACGTTTAGGTTTAATAAACCTTTTTCAAGACAATATTCATTAAAATACAATTCAGTTCAATTTGACAAAGACGATGGACATAAACAACAAGTCTTATCCAAAACAGATAACTGAAAATTTTTAAAATGATCAGCTTTCCGTTTAGCATGGTCACGTTGTCGTCACATGAGCGAGGCTTTCAAAACGAAACGTCAGACGTCGACATTTCATTCATTTTAAACAACATAATTGCATTTAAGTATTTTTGTTTGTTTTTTCCAAATTTTTCTTCATTCTGTCGGATCTATTTCCATTTACATTTGCTTATATATATATATATATATATATATATATATATTTAAGCTCTAAAAACAGCGAATTATGACATTCAATCTCTTGGGAAATACTTCGGTGCCAAACTGATGTGAGGTTTCGTTCCTCCTATACACCAGTGAATGATGGGCAATCACTTCACAGATGAAGCGATGTCTTTAGGCAACAGAGACGTGGTTCTACAGAAGAATTTTGAGAATACCATGGACAGAGCATGTGTACAACGAGGAAGTTTTAGGGAGAATGAAAAGAAAAAGGAGAATTATACTTTGAATCAGAAAAAGTTGAAATCTTTAGGATACATAATGAGGAAAGAGGGCTTGGTGAATCTGACACTCATGAGACCTATCGAAAGCAAGAGGTTACAGAGGGAAACAGCGAGTGACCTACGTAACGAGCTTGTATAAGTGGATCGCAGAATCACAATTGGGAGTGATAGTAAAATGACAAAAATTGCTAATAAGCTACAAAGTATTGGAAGTAGTGGAGATCTATGATCGCCAACGCCCTAAAGCGACACGGTATATAAAAGAGGAATATCTTTTTTTTAAATAAAATTAAGCAGTGACAAATTTTAAATAGGTGCTGAAGCTGCCCAGTCTTTACTTGCCTAAAAATCGTCCACGCGGCCTTGCGGGCGATGAATTATTTTTCATTCCACAACCCCTTTTCAAAACGAACCGTTGCAAGCATCTCGGCCCTAACCCTTTGCAGCTGACACCTCCATGCCTTGTACACACGGATGAATCTTCTTCATTCCCTTATTAAGAAGTTTCATTATACGGAAACAGAATATTGTGTGTTTATAAACAGTGATTCGGACTTTGCCAACCAGGCGCTTCCCTGTAGCTGAATGGTACAGCACGTTAGGTCAAATGACGGTTTCCGTATAGGAAAGGTTCGATTCCTGTCTGAGAAGGCATATTTTCTACGAATATTTCACGAATATTCAAGACGTTAAATGTAATTAATACTGTTTAATTAAAAATAGAGCATTTATTTAAATACATTGTATCTATAAAAATAGCGTATAAACAGAAAATATATTTTATTTTATTTATATATATATTTATGCATGTTTCATTAAAAACGACAGACAAGGTACTACGGTCAAGCTTTTTATTTAATTATTCTTGTGTTCTAACAAGAGCTTTCTTTTGGGGACAAAGAGTGTGTAAAAACTGTCCAAATGTTTTATAGTTCCGAGCGCTTTCCGCTATACCTTTAGACATTATCAAGGATGATTCGATTTTTCAGCTTAATTGAGTGTGTGCATTATGTGTTTTTGACGTGGCTTGGTTTAGTAGTTTTTTTTAAATTTGGAGGAATTCATGCGTGAATTGGGTGCTGTAATGTCTTCTCATTATGAAAGCCATCGTCAAGAGGAAGTGACAAGAGTCACCTCATCTTATATTGAGGATATATATATATATAAATGAAAGTGTAATGTCTACGGATAAGGCCAAGTAGAAACTAGAATCCGTCAGGTTGACCAATAAGGACCCCAAGCGCCTGAAAAATGGAGCTCTATTATTGGGTCTTGAAGTCTGTGAGGAGCAAGACACTCTACGGTGGAAGCGAGGAGTGTCGTTCCGGAACTTCCTGTCGTAATTACGCTACGTAACGTCTTTTCCATTTGCCGGTAGTTAGTAGGGCACTTTCCTCTCTATGGGTGGCTTCGTGCAGCAACTGGAGTAACAAAGAGGCGAGCAATTACGGTAACAATTGCATAGTGTGACGCAGTGAACGACATCTCTCTCAAGCAGACGATAGCCGAAGTATTCACCAAAGTGAACCAAGATAATCCCGCCCAAGGTGACTGGTGCGAAACGGGAGAAAAAGTTAGCGCATGGGTTGACGCAAGCTCCCTGGCGATGGGCATAGTGTTAGAAAGACATGGTGCTATTCTGGAGGACGCATGCTGGCTTCGCCCAATAAACGACTATCAGTATATCAATCTGGGAGAAACTTCGTCCTTACTAATGGAATATGGAGGAAATGTCGGGGATTAGACTAGCAGAAGTACAATGACGAGTCCTAACTCTAAAGGCTTGACCTGGTGGGAACTAAAGAGGATATTTAATCGAGGATACATGGATTTGTAGCACATGCCGAAATAGGAGGGAGAAAGGCTGATTTAAATGATTCATCCTAGCTAATCCGATTCACTCTAGCAAGTAACACAATCTCCACAAGAACCCCTCTCTCTCCATTCAGGCCGAACATTTACTAAAATACCGCATTTTCACCCAATGCAAACCCATATAAATTAAATAAAAAGGATTAAAATAAACATTTAAAAGGAATTAAATGTGTTAGTGGGGTACCGTCCAAGACATAAAAATGAGAATGACTGCGAGAATCAAGTAGTTCAATCGCTATTAGCAGTGAAGGGTCAAGAATCAATTTGGGAGTTGGATAAATGTAAAAGTCTGGTTCAATCAAGATAAAAAGCAAGGACAAAAAAAAATGATATGGAATCTTGACAATGACCCTAACAAAAGAAGAGACCGGAGAATCAGAAGAGACTAGCTTAACCAGGGGTGGTGCCAGCTAGGAATCCGCTCCGCTCTCAATTGTGGAGACTAAGAAAGAAAATCCAGATTGGCTCGATTTAGGGGAACGCTTCACCAGCAAGAAAACTCGTCTGATGAATCGGTCCCTGTTTGCTGAATAAAAAAGATTGTAGAATTCAGGGAATTATCCATGTTGGTGATTATTCCACAAAGAAGCGGTTCTTCCAGCACCCACCCTTTTGACCCAGGGCATCACTATCCCGTCAAGGCACTTGATGTAGGCCTCCGTGTTGAGTGTGAGGCACTGTAGAAAAATGAATGGAGGAATAACGACGCCATCGCTAGTGGTCACTGCAAACCCCTTCGTAATCACCATTAGACTCATCCAACTCTTTTCGAATCCTCTTCATGATCCTCAGATTGACACCCAAACAATCTGAACTGTTTGTAATGGAGCTTTCGGCGCGAATACCAAACAGTAAAGCATGCCTTTTCCAAATTTGCTGTCGGGGGGAATTACGTCATGGTGCTCTTTTTCTCATAGACGGTGCTCAACTGACCCGACTATATTGATTTTCTAAGCCCGGCTTAGATGTGGCACATGGCCAAACGTATGGGGGTACACAGTGAGGATCAAACTCACTACTCAGTCGTAAGTGATCTAACAAGACAAGCTTTTTAACCATTACCCGACGTCGAGGTTCCCAACTGATCCGACTATAATGTGCAGTCGACAGAATCAAAAACAAGCAAAAGGCATGCGCAAAATTAAAAATATAAAATGGCGACAATTTACCACCTCACCATATATATATACATATATATATATATATATACTCATGAG